TTATCTTAACAGTATTAGTTGATGTTTGCTTGTGCTCTAAAATGATAAAACATTCTCTAATACTTTAAATTAGACGTTCACCGACCTTCCTTCATGTCTTCTTCATTCTATTAAAAAAAATGCCATTAAAAAAAATTAGACGTAAGTAAAGGACTCGGCAAACGGATGTTAATTAAAAATATTGTTTATTAGTGATTTCAAAGGGACATCTAAGTTAACGGTACTGCCAGTAGACCCTTTTTTTTTTTTTTTTTTTAACGTTGGGAAATGCATTTACGCACGAAGTGTGGGACTCACCGGCGAAGCCAGTGCTACCCACTAAAACCCAACAAAACCATCCTCCGTCTTAATGGGGCGTCGCAGGATCGCTTACGCATTCAACTACGACGCCCCGACGGCAGGTCTGCCGAAGCAGACCACAACAACCATGGAGTTGCTCCACGGTCCACTCTGCTATCAGAGAAGTACCAGGAGCAACCCGCATGGCATAACCCACCGCCCACCGAAGCGGGCCACCTCCCTGTGCGTTTCTTGGCTTCGCGAGTACACTACTGAGCCCCCCCACCACGACAAGGTGAACGCACGTTGGGGGGGACTGCCAGTAGACCCTGCGTCGTCACCATCAGCGATAATGAAAGCAGAGTTTCTTATAAATCCATACATATAATAAAATTGTAACTAAGCCGAATCTGTACATTAAATATTTTTTGGAAAATCTTATAGAAATAAACATTATTATTGATACAGAGACTGAATCTATAGTTTTTAGAATTTTTCTCTGTCTGTCTATTACCGCATCACAGAAAAACCATTGGAGGGAGTTTGATGAAATTTGGTATGGTGATAGCTTATTATCTGGGTCAACATATAGGATACTTTTTACCGCAGGAAAATATCTCATTTCTGAGAAAAATACAAAAACTGCAATGTAGGAGTATACTAAGATCTAAAACCTAAGAATTTGGTTTTAGGTCATCTGAACGCGGGCGGAGCCGCGGGCAATGCTAGTATTTTTCTGTTTGATTTTTTTGATATCCATTTCATTTTTTAAAAGGGATAAGATACTCATGAATTATGTCGTGCGTGCGTATTATGTATTTATTAAATAATAAATAATTTAAAATTAAATGCGTATTATTTTGTATCATCAAAATACTTATTTGAATATAATAAGAGAATAGTCTTTTTACGAAAAGCGCGGGAAAAAAATATATTTACGCTCTATTTTTATTTTTTTGGCAACAAATGTTTTATGTTAAAAAATCAAATATACGTGTGTATACGTAATATGTAGTAAGAGCCACTCGTTGTGAAATTCCTTATTGCGTTTATAACGCCTTTATAAAACTTTTATATTTTGAAAATTGAACATATAAAAAAACTAAATAAGCAAAGACAAATTTAATTTAATATTTTAGTACCTTTTCTTCTAAACCGATATCCTTTTTAATTTATTGTTGCTTAATAGCTTTGTTGGATTTACACGAATATTTGACATCTAAACTAATATTATAAAGAGGTAAAGTTTGTGATTTTGTGACGTTGTACTGACTTTGGCTAAGTAATTAAAGCCTACCTATTAAATACATACCTAATCAAATATTTTCGAATTCGGTGCCAGCCCATACAAAGCAAAGCACACCGACTTCGAAAATATTTGATTAGGTATGTATAGTAAATGAAAACTACCAATAAGTTATTTTTTACTTTTTAGTGCTTTTGTTTAAAGTCGGTTTTTATTTTTTTGTTAAAAAGTTTTATAACAATTTATGAGCTTAAGTGTTATCAATAAAAAAAAATAAAAAACATTTTTTTATGTAATACTTAACGTTGAATATCCTCTCGACCACTGGGCGAACATTGGTATAATATAAATATGTTAAAGGTTAACTCTAATATTACGCACAACATTACATCTGTGTACATCTTGCTATAAATAATGACGTAAACAGTAAAGCTCGCGAAAGCGACAGGTGTTTGTACATATTTCAGTGCGAGACGCCGTCGTTAGAGCACGCGCTAACTTCGAGATTTGGTCTTGAGACTATAGTTCTTAAAATGTATAAAGTTCATGGAAACTATGAAGATTTTAAAGTTTTTATAAAATAAGTGGATACCTATTAATTATTAAGCCACAAATAATTAGAATAAAATATAATAAAATTGATATGTCGTTAGATAAGGTAAGATTTTTTTTGTTTTTTTGTGCTTAATGTAATTTTTTTTTATATTATTAATATAATTTTACATATTTAAAAAAAATATTTTCATACCTAGGCTCTGTCCTAAAATTTCATTTAAAGACAACTCTATTTTTGTTGTAATATAATTATGCTGCTATTACAAAAAAAATATATGTAGTTCTTATTTTATTATAAATAAACATAAATAAGCTAAGAAAACTTATTTGCGATTCAAATAAATAAATTCTGATGAATTAACAAAAAAACAAACTATTTTTAGTTTTTAAACCTTGCGTAATATTGCCTTTTCTCAGTATAATAAACAAAATATATACTCGTTAAATTATAATGAGGTTCTAGTTTAGACACGCAACTCTACTCGCGAAAAATTTTTTAGAATTACCTAAGTACTTTCATATATTACTCTCTACTGAGTCATATACTCGTACAAACAAATCAAATTTTATAGCTTTTACATTATTACGTGTTTGCTTTGATAAGATAATCTAACTGTTTAAAAGTTGATATTTGATAACGTCTTTATATAACACTTTTGTATATTAGGACCTGGGCTACCGAGCTTCGCTCGGAGTTTTGGCCAAAAAACATTAAAAAAAACAAACTAAAAATTTGAATAAATACAAAAAAAACAAATGAAAAAATTTGTATCAAGCCGGGATACGAACCCAGAGCTGTGGTTGTCGAATTTGCTCCTTGGCCGCTTGACCACGATGCTTATGTACTAGCGTGCGAATTAGCGACTTTATTTTGCGTAGAATAATGCGAAACAAAACTGCATGAAAACTCGAAAACACGCGTTTTACCAGACATAAAACTAATCTAGATCGATGTATCGCCCCCAAAACCCCCGGAAACTGAATTTCATGAAAATCGCTGGAGCCGTTTCCGAGATTCAGATTATATATATATACAAGAATTGCTCGTTTAAATATATTAGACTAGATATAATATCTATTACATATGAAATAGGTAACGTAAAAATGATGACATCCCAATTAGTCATGATTTTCATAATTCTTGATAATCTTGTAAATTTTGTTTTCTATTTACAGTATTTTTTATAAATCATTTAAAACTTTCCGAATATATATTATCTGTAAAGAAGTAAATATGGTTAGAACGAATATAAATGTTTTATTCTATAATTGAATATAGATTTTTCTTCTGCTGGTGCATAGAGATCACCACTCTAGAAGACTGTTTTATGTAACAAACAAAAACCTCTCCTAATTTCCTTGATACGTATCGTCGTCTTTATCTATAGGCCATCTGATGGCCTAGAACAAAACAATGAACACTAATAAACATATTCATTATTACGATATAATCTTCAATCTTTCATATTCAACTATCGCGGATCTGTTGGCTGATAGACAAACAGACATAAATGGTAAGTGACTGTCAGTCCTTACTTTGTGCGCAGAATGTTAAAATAAGGTACATCGCCTAAACACTTCATTAGTCGATGCACTTTGGTGCATGACAATTTTTTATCCCGTTATGTTTTTAGTTGGTATCACAACATGAATAATGCACCCGTATTTAGTTAACGAGTCCATAATGAGTCAATACACGTTTGTTTATTGAATTTATAATTTAAGTACGGATATACGGAGTAAGATAAAGACGGTGGTTGCTCAGTGGAGGGTAGGCACGTAGTGTCTAGTGACCACTCTAGTTACCCGTCTCAGGTTGCGCGTATAAAAAAAGTGCTGGATAGACACATCCAGACATATTACAATGATATAATTAAGTATACTACATAAAAATAACCATCGTAATATATATGTATATAGTTTTCTTTTATATTATTTTTTTATTTTAAATTTTAATATTATCTATTACGTAAAACACAGACCTCCTTTGTAATTTTCGGCTTCTTTTCCTATACTGGCTTCGTTGAATATTATCTTTAAATTAAAACAGGACATTTGTCAATATTGACATTATAATACGTCATAGGTTCTTTATCAATGAGTCTGGTATGACGTGGAGTCTACATTATTTACTAAGATTAGATGAGGATGTTGCGGAAATCGGGCTTCCCATTGTTGTAACAAAACTATGACAATAAGGACATATTTAGGACACTAAACACATATAGGTGATTACCAAATACGCAATATAGTTAGTAATTCAAATATGCGAATAGAATCTATATCGAAAATTGAAATTAAGATTGTTCTAACTTGTACAAGCACTAAACACACTCACGCTTCTTTCATTAACATTTTGCGTTGTACAAAAATCGATTTGATATTCCGAGAAAATATTTGTGAAAAAAAGTTGCGTTGTTATTGTTGCGTGAAGGGGGATATAAACGGGTAAAACATCATTTTTAACAGTACTTTAAAGTAACAGCTAATAAAAATAATATCTATTCTATTGCTAATTGTTGGCCATTATTTCTAAAAAAATTATAATTTACTTTAATTATGATTGAAGTTAAATAAATATAGTCTTAGGTCATAGTAATATAAATGCATTAACCTAATACCTTGAATATATCACATTAAAATATTGCGCGCGCGCATGAAACAAGCTCATCAGGACAAATCTGTGTCCTCATGACAAGATACAAAACCGCAATAATTTAATAATAACATTACCTTCCCACTAATTCAGAGGGAATTCCTAATTATATTGTTAACAACCCATCGTTTTCCTCCAATCGTTAATATAAATCCATGGTACTTTTATTAGATATTCATTTGTTGTCAGAATTCAAGGGAGGCATGGTGTGATTGGAGCGCCTTGCCCTCTGGAAGATGACAAGGAAGCTATTCGCAGTGCACAATGGCTCCAGATGCGGAGGACTGTGAAGAGGTTTGTTCATCATAAAAATGATAAAAAATGTATAATTTATAAAAATAACAATTAATATAACATCATCAGTAATAGTCTAATTTAATCTCAAACTCATGATACATCGATCGAATCCATGAAATGCCATATATTTTAGGCAGTTTAGAAATATTCGCCTTTATCATAAAAATAAGCCAAATGAAGTAAAAGGCATTTTTAACTTAGCTAAAAGAGTACGTATTTGTTTCTAAAATATATAAATTGTTACTAGGTGGAGCGATTAAATGACTACGAAGAGGAACCAGTACACCAAGGTAGACGGATTCTGCCTGAAGACCCACCACCAGTACAAGCCTGGACAGAAAACGAAGAATTGGGACAAGGAGGTGATAGTAGAACTAATAGCCCCGGAGAAAATAGGCGCCTACTTGGGCATAAGCCCATACACAAATCTAACTCTCGGTTACAAGCTGGCTTAACCTTAGGGGTTTGGGGCATACCTAAATGGACTTCAAAATCTGAAAAATTAAGCGATAAGCCAAAAGCGAAAACAAAGTTCCAGAAGCGAAAGGAGAAGATATTTGAAGCCCTAAAGCCTCCATACTTCATCATCTCCATGTTATTTATAATTGTAAGTTATAACCACCGTATCTAAACAATACATCATATCCATCTATACACATAATGATATAGATATTTCTAGTGAAACACCATTTGATATATGTAATTTTTTGTCTTATATTTTTGAAATTTAACAATATTTATCTCTTATTCCTATTAAGGTAATGTTCCACTTACTGGGTCCGGAGTCTTGGCGCTTAAAGCTCGAGTGGTCTCCAGGACCGTGGTGGAAACAACCTTGGCGGATGCTCACGTACGGCTTGGTCCACGCTGGTCCAGCCCATCTAGCTCTCAACGCTCTGGTCGCTCTTGCTGTAAGCTATATTTTAATTACTAATTACATTTTTAGCTCAGTCTTTTCTTACACTTGGCCACAATTTTTTATCAGATAATAATTCTTTCCATTATACACGTTTGGCTCAGTTCGTAGTGACCCTACTTGCTGTGCCAGCGGTCGCGGGTTCGAATCCCGCTGGGAGCATTCATTTGAGTGATGAGCACAATGTTTGTACTCCAGTCATGGGTGTATATATTTATAATATGTATGTATTTAAAGTTATATAATATGTGTAGTGTACCAACTATCTCGTATCCATAACACAAGCCTCATAGCTTGCCATGGTACTAGACGGTGTTGTGTGTTAATGTCCCAACATATTTATTATATTTTAATCTAACTCAAGTATCTTTTACTAATTGAAAAGGATAAATATAGCGAATATTTTGTCTAACATTTATTTTTGAAATAAAAACATTGAGATTTTATAAATTTTGTTTATGGTACGTCTATCTCTTCACGCCTACGTCTGTTTGAACGAGTTTTTTAGACAACAAAGATTTAATCTATTTATATATACTAAGAGGATTATATCTTTTTCCCAATCGACTCTACTTGTATCAAACAAATTAACCTTAGTTATATCATTAAGAATATATAAAGGTTAATGTTTAAATCAATATAAAGGTATATTTTATAGATGTAAGTTTTAATGTCTGAAATTTGAATACTTCAAAAATGCTTATGGACTATAGCTACGAAACTTTTTCTTTTATCTCATCCCTTATATCCCTTTATGAGTTAAAGGGATGGGGATAAGGGATGGGGATAAGGGATGGGATAAAAGAAAAAGTTTCGTAGTTATAACCCGCTTTTACTGTTTGTTGGGTTAGAGTTTTAAAAACCACAGATACAGATTTAGTTGAAAATTGTAAAGAGATTTGATTTATTTCTATTTATTTCTAACTATCCAGGTGGGTTGGTGCCTCGAACGGGAGCAGAGCTGGTCTCGTGTTGCCCTCATCTGGGTAGGTGGCGTCGCCGCCGGCGCGTTGGGCGCGGGCGCCTTTCAGCCCAGAGTGAGGGTGGTGGGTGCGTCTGCTGCTGTTTACGCTCTACTCACTGCACATGTTCCTAATGTATGCCTTAGGTTAGTATTTATATCTATACTGATATTATAAATGTGAAAGTTTGTGAGGATGGATGGCTGATTGTTACTCTTTCACGCCAGAACAGCTGAACGAATCTAGACGAAAGGCACAGATATAGATTATAGTCTGTAATAACTAATAGCGCATAGGTTACTTTTTATCCCGGAAAAATATACGGTTCCCGTGTGATAGATTTGTTTTTGTTTAGGGACGCACGCTAAGCAAGGCGAGGGTGAATCGCTAGTCATTTCTATACATATTTTCTATTAACACCTTATACACATTTTATTATTTTATCGACACTTCTTAATATCGCAATTACTTTATTCAGATAAATTAGTATGACCTACTTGAACTTTAATTTACATAATGATCGAATTCTATAAGCCCTATTCAAAAGATATTTTATATTTTAATTAAAACTATCTTTTCGGATTTTTCGCGGGTTTGTTTTGGTTTTTGGATCCCGCGTTTCGAATGGTTTACAACAATCATGGTCACGGGAGAGACAATCAAAATTAATCCGCAAAAAAAACCGAAAAGATAGTTTTATTTAAAATGTCAAATATTCGCGTAAATCTAAGAATGTAATTATTATTCCATCGTAAGTTACATGTTACAATATATAGTTAATTTTATAATATATTAATAATTATTATTTTGTTACAGATTTGGTCATATTCCATTATGGTGGTTCAGGCCTCTCAGCGTGGTTGTACTGGGTGCTTCAGAAGGATGTTGGGCGTTACTTCGAGAGCCTGACCCACAAGCAACAAACAATCACGTAGCGTGGGCGGCGCACGTTCTGGGCGCTGCTGTAGGAATACCCTTAGGCTTCGTAGCTTTTACTGGTATGTGAAACTTTCATATTGGAAGAAATTTAGTGTAAAGCTTTAATTTAAAAAAAAAATAAGTAAAAGTTTAATTTTCCGATCTTAATTATTGAAGAGCTTATTTAAAAAAAAAATAATCTAGTAAGTTTTTCTATGAAACTTTGTTGAGTAGGAAAATACACGAAAAAAATTGTGAAAAAATATAAAATTATACGATATTAATAATATAATTTTATTACAGGCGAAAACTCATCAACACGTATCATCACAGTGTTACGCGTGTCTTCCTTCCTTCTCCTCGCCACCGGGATTATCGCCGCCACCATCCACTATATGTTTTATTATGAAGCCGACGACTACACTTGATATTTAAGAATGATGCGCGCTCTCGGGCGGCATCGGGACTGACTTCACTGAATACTTTCTTAGATTTACGCGAATATTTGACATTTTAAATAAAACTATCTTTTCGGATTTTGTCGCGGATTTATTTGCATTTTTGTTTCCCGACGTTTCGAATGCTTTACAGCATCCATGGTCACGGGAGAGACTGAGGTGTTACATGTCTTGAATGTATAGTTGTTACAGACAGCCTACCCACAATTAACAAAATGAAAATTGCACCAATTACATTACAATATTTTTTAACTTTAAACATTTTTATAATTTTAATTATAATTGAATATGGAAAATTATTTATTTAATTTTTGCTATTATTTTTATAATTATTACAATTTTAAAATATGTGACCGAGTGAAACCAGCCACAGTCGAGCGCGTCCCTGCAGTCCTACCTTACATGAGAGGCGTCATGGATGCTGTAAAGCATTCGAAACGTCGGGAAACAAAAATGCAAATAAATCCGCGACAAAATCCGAAAAGATAGTTTTATTTAAAATGACTTCACTGACTTCAGTGACTTCATAGACTTCACTGGCTTCACTATTGTGACACTTTGTGAGCATTACCAGTGAAGATCTGTGTATGGTGCAAGCTGTCCTATATAATGCAAATTATATACGAGACAGGAAACATAAAAGAAAGGTGCAATTTTAGTATAATAAATGTGATTTGAGCTTATATTGACTAGTCAAAATATTTGATTGTAATAAAAATGTTAAGTGCTTCGGACTTTTGGTGAAAATATTTCATAACAAAGTACAAAATGGTGTTCAGTTAAGCCAAAATAATAAATTGCAAGATTTTAACTCAATTTCAAATGTACTTAACTATAAAAAGGGATGCACAAGTCTTCCAATTTTCGATTTATAACTACATAATATACACTCAGGCTGTCAATGATTTTACTTAAATTCTCGGATATATGTATATCTTTTTTTTGTTAAAATATGTTAGTAGAGACGATTTCAACTCAGTTATAGTATATTTATTAAATTACCTCAAATAAACTAAACAATAAAAAAACACTACTATATTATTATGTCATCTTTAATATATGATTTTATTTTCTTCTACCAACATACATTTCGTATCCGTATTTAAAACTATACACTTTGCCTGATAAAAAGTATATTAGATAAAAGAAGAAACTTTAAATGAGAGAATAACGTACCTTCAATCATTTCACAATTTAAAGTTACTTTGCTCGTTTGTTATTTTTGTAGTCGTCGATCAAACAGTTTTGACCGATGTGATAATACTTTGATGATATTATAAGCGCACTATAAAGAAATCATTACAACTAAATCAATTAAATGAATACCTCCGGCGGTCTGTCATTTTGAACATTTTCAATGATTTCTGTGAAATTATTTCAATTGTTTTGTATCAAAACACTATTTAACTATTTACTAATAAGTTTTAGATAGGTATAAGTCAGGAATTGTTTCTAATATGAAGGGTGTATATGAACTGTGTCACTTTGAAGCAAGTTGCAAATAATTGTCTAGTTGTCAATATTATTACCAAAGAAATACTTTTTAATATGCAAATATCATCATTCGATTGGCTAATAATCTAACTTCAGAGCGCCATAGTTATTATACATGTACATTTTGGTTAATAACAACCATATTATCTACTTCAGGTGTCTCACGTTTTAAAGAGAAATTGTCTAACCAAAGAAATTGTAAAATCTAGTCGAGTGTAGATTGTGCCAGAAGAGAAATCTGTACAGTCTATTTTATATCAGTCATTAGTCAATTTATCACCTCCCAGTAAATTTCTAAGAAATCTATTGTTAACTGTAACGCCGGCGTGTACGCGGTCGTTTAATAACAAAAGGGTAAAATTAAGAAAAAAATGAGCCAAATGAATATGCGTTTTATACCAAATCAGAGTGAATTTTTGGACAAAATTTTAATACATATCGCAATATTTGTCAAAAATCGATAGTTTTTTAATGTTTTGTTTTAAGTGTGATATGTTAAATGCTTATTTATAATTGATGTTATTAACTGTGTTTGGAATGAACTCAAAAGTGTTATTAGTGTAAGCATTTATCTCTTGATGTACATACGCGTTACAATTTTTATATTGTTCACGAAATTGAATTTGTGTATATTGGCAACGTTGAATGTTAATAAAAGTCTTTCTTATATTTTGTGCCTTTGATTCCTTCATATGAAGGATTTTTATAACTATAGATACGATTTTAGAACGATAGATATAGATATATAATAAGAATTATATAACTACCTCGCGTCGTGGCCGGAATCATTCAGAAGGAATTTATTAGTCTTAGACACTTCTAGGAGATTTTGATAAAACTTTTATCAAAATCAATCACGGAAAATAAACTAAAAACAGATACCCCAAGACCACAAACACGAACTGTTATTTAATTTATTTATTATAATTTAAATGAGGTCAATGTACTGCAATAGATAACGATAACGGGTAATTATTGAAAAAGAAAAAACTAAACAGGATAATCAGTCAGTTTTATTGCTTTTATAATATTATATTACTAAAAATAATTTACTATGTACTTATTTTATATTTGAGGCAAGTGTTCTATTTCAAAGAGACTATTGTTTTTGTCATCATTTGTAAGTTTACTTCTACCTGAGATCAATACCTGCAGTTGTCGGTTACTTTGAGTTGTCATTTTACTAACAAGATACCTACTAAATCTTAATCTATAAATCACACTTCGTGTCTTCTGCCTTCTACGTGACACTGGCGAAGTAATGTATGTCCAACTGGCACCCTTTGAAGCCATTAACGAGAAAATTAAATTGAATAAATCACACACAATACGCATACTCTGTACAAGTAGACTACCAAGAGAATCTTAACTGTCTACATTCCAGCTTTACTAAAATTTAACTTTCTCAGCTACGTCCACATTATGCCAACTGCTCAAAAATATTATATAAAAAATATGGTTTAACTTATTCATTATTAAATGTTGCGTTTTATAAAATAAATGCATTTTCACTAGTCATATTTTGCAGAATTTCTAATACCATTCATGCGTTATCTCAATTTTGTTAGTCAATTTAGTATATTCAGAGATTACAGTTCGTACGATTGTCTCGAAGAGATATCATTATTTTATTACACTGCTAGCACTAAAATGACATATGTTTCTGAATTTTTCAACGCATTTCGATTCAGCGATTTTTGTTCTCGGTAATAACATCAGCAGTTCAACGACCGACACTGAACGCCGACTTCAGTACACTTACACTCTTGACAAGGAGATGAAAGTTCTGCAATGATCCGTCCTACACGGTACATTCGTCCATAAATGTTACAACCAGCAAGCTTTGGCAGACCAAGACTGAGGTTAGTTAAGAAGTTATGTGGTGGTCTTAAATCTGCAGTTTGCTGGAAACCGTCTTTACTTGTAATTTCTACTATTTTTGTAGTAATTGGTCGAGATGTCGTTTTAGTTGTAGTAAAGGTCTTTCTTGTTGTTATCACCGGCTTGTATATTGTTGTTGTTCTGGGTGTTGTTTTTCTTATTACAGTAGGTTCTCCGAGTAACAAATGATCTATCCTATTGACTGTATTTTGCGGATATAATTTCTTAGGTGGTATTGGATAACGATGTGTGACAGGTATGAACATGTTATCTGGTGCTGTATAGAACTTTTTAGTTGATGGGATAGTTACAGTAGTTTTAGGTGCTTCTGTGGTGGTTGTTGATTTACGTTTTGGTGTACCTGTTGTGGTTTCGTAAGTTTCACTGAGCAATAATTGCAAAACGCTTCCGAAAGAAAAACCTTCGTCTTCTTCCTCTTCATCATATTCTGCGGAGTGGTTACCATTGTGACTCAATTCTTCATCTTTTATCGTAGTTATTTGTGTAGGTTTTTCCGTAAACGTAATTTGAGTCAAATTTGTTGATGCGTAATTTTTTATTATATCCTGGTTCACACTTTCTTCGTCTGTTGTTGTATAATTTTTTATCAAATCTGAGGCAGTTGTTGTTTCTATTTCTGGTTGTGTGAATGCAATAATTTCTTTATCATTTTCAATAGGTACTTTTGATTCATTTAAACTGATTGCAATATGTTGCGTTGCGATAAATGGAGAAAGTGTTGTTATATTTCCTGAAAATAAATATAATGTAAGTACGTAGTCAGTAGTAAATTTAATTATTATTGAATCAAACAAGAGCACGCAATTACTTTAAAAGATATGCCTATGAATTTAAAGTACCATTTCCACCTTTTTCCCAGTCCCCCAACTCTTATTCATCAATTCTTGCACTATTCAAATATTAGATTTTCGAAAATATCATAAAACCACTGACTAAAAATATGGTAATGTTTACTATAATCCGTCATAGCAAAGAAACATAATCTATACTTATAATAAATCTGTAGAGAGGTCAATTCTGTACATGAAATATATTTCCAAAATAACTATCAGGGGGTGATTAGGGATCGGTACTGATGCCAAAAATGCAATCAGTAAAATTTTTGTCTGTCTGTCTGTATAACCATTATAGAAACAAAAACTACTCGACGGATTTTAACGAAACTTGGTACAATTATTTATCATACTCCTGAGCTGGTTAAGGTATACTTTTCATCACGCTACAATCAATAGGAGCAGAGCAGTGAAGGGAAATGTTGGGAAAACGGGAGAAGTTACTCCATTTTTTAAGCTTCCGTCGCGTGTGCAACCTTAATGGTTAAAGCTACACAGAAATCATGTATGACGGAAATGTTCTCCTTAAAATTATATAAAAATATCCCACGACAGCATATGTCTATCTTTTATGGTTGACTCACAATATACACGTGTAACTCCCGATAGCTTAGCAGTTCGAAGCTTTCTAATTTATATTTGTCTACTCTTACGTTTATAACACTCTCAGTCATCCCTAATTAAAAAAGTTAACATTATAAACTATTCCATGAAAAAGAATCATAGAAATCGGTATAGAAACACCAAAGTTATAGATGAAATACGCTAATAATAAGCCATCGCGAGTCAGGGGGATGTAAGAAGACAAATAGAACAAATCCAGTTTTTTTTCAATTTTTTTGTTTCTCTGTCTGTTTGTCTGTTTGCTTGTACGGGGTAATCTCCGAATCTATTGGACTGATTTAAATGAAACTTTGCATGGTGGTACCTTATATCCCCGGACAACGTCTTAGATATTTTTATCCCGGAAAATTAAATGGTTCCCGTGGGATAGTTAAAAAACTATTATAACTTATACAACTTATGCACCTAATTTAGTAAAATTTAACATTCTGATACCTTATATTGCCGGTCAAACAACAGGTTACTTTTCATCCGGGAAAAATGAACGGTTCCCGTGGGAACTAATAGATTTCTATTAGTGTTTTACTAGAGGCGAACCCGAGCGAAGCGAGGGTGAGCCGCTAGTTATCAATAAAAACGCTAATATGAATATAAATAAATAAAAAATATATACTCCGTTCACAAATAAGTTCTCCACAGCACAAATCAGCAGTACTCGCGACAGCGGCGCGGCGCTCGCAACCTGGCGGTGTGGTGCAAGGTCGGGGTGCACAATGAAGAGTGCCCCATGCACAAGAGCATATCGAGCAAGCCACGTTAATAGACTCGCCTTCAGGAACGCGTCGACCGTCACTTGTTGTACATTCATCTAAAACAGTATTCCAATGTAAATTATAATACATAATAAGTACTCGTAATATCAATAAATAACATGTTACTCTCAAATACCCACTCCCATATCCCTTGTGTCTATGAACATACTCGTATTCATAATATACTAAAATCGTGAGAAATAAATAATTATATCATACCATTATAGTTCACATCATAAAAACTCTTATTAACTATATGGATAGTATCACAGGATATAAATATGCTTCACCTTTTGGTTCCAGCTGCATCGATGTTGTCAGATGAGGGATAATTGGTGTTTGTGAAGTACTTTGGTATACGGAGTAATATTCGTCGATTATTTCTGGACCTTTAGGTATGAAACCACCTAAAAATTTTAATTAAATTAATTTAATAAAATATTTTAGTAACAAGGATTAATAAAATTAATCTATTATAAAATATTTTACTATATAACATGGCTTTTTTTCCTTTTACTATTTAACACTCAAGACTTACCTTCTGTTTCTATTGGTGGAGAAAACAAATTAACAGATGGCGAATCCATTTCGAATTTCGTACTCACAGTAGGCTTACGTTCTATATTGTTATTTATTTTCGCAGAATTTCCCATAGAAGTGGACACTGTATATTCATGTACTGGTCTGGACGGAGCATCATCAGTTATACTAGCGTAAGCTATATTTACATCATCTTCTTCATGAGTAGGAGATGGGTACTGTATAGTCTCTATTTTTTTTGACACAAAGACAGGATATTGTGTTGGGTTATATACGTCGTCTTTGCGCATTGCAAATGATTGTTTCGTATCTTTACTCGGATAATAAATTGGAAATTTCTCATCAGTTTCCAACAGCGGATAGTCTTGGCTTTCTTTGGAAGAAATATCTTCGTCTACAACTGCATCAGCTGCGACAAAGGGAATGATTCTGAAAACAAATATTTAATCATGAATATTTGAAATATATGTATGTAAATCGTAATATTTTATAAATAAAAGAGCAAAAACGAATATGTAATTCGAGGTAATCATAATTGTTACAAGTAGTGGGCCAATACCAATAATATTAAAAAGTTAAATCAAAAATAATTACTTCAAATTCGGTAACGATGGAGGTAAAGTAGGTTCTGGGTAATCATAATCATATTCATCTTTTTTTACTTTTGAAATATTTACGGAACCGAGTAACAATGGCGGCACTGTTTTAGGAGGAGGTGTTGAAGTCGCTAGTGTTGTAGATTGTGTAGTATTTGAACGTAGAGAACTCGTCACATTTATAGTAAACGTTTCATTTTCATCAAATTCTCCACTATTCCTTTCAGTAATTATATCATTGGGAGAATAAGTTTCACTCTCAACTTCTATGCTATTAATAATAGGTATACGAGGTTGTGCTTCACTCTTGATCCATATGTCTGGATCTGATACGTTTAACATAAGGGACGTAGAGGATAGTTCTGTTGTACAATTGATTGTACCATTAATTATTATTTTAACTGAGCCCTCTGGTTGTTCAGTAGTTGTGATTTCATCATTTATAGTACTTTCAGTGACCATGGTTGTAGATATGTCATTAGAAACTGTGGTTTGTATAGTTTCTAGTGTAGCCGTATAGCTTTTCTCTGATTTTAAATTAGAATCAGGGATAGTTTCATCAGTCTTTCTCTTTTCTTTCACTGTCGTAACAGGTTGTTCCTTCGTTACAGTTACAGCTGACGTGCTTTTGTGTGTAGTAGGTTCCCTTATTGTCGTTTCTCTTTTATTTGACTTTGATGTGTGAAAAGATCTGTCCTCATCAGCCAAGGCTATTAATGTGTTTTGATGCTGAAGATGTAAGTTCGGTGCTCTCGTACCTAAAATTACAAATAGGTAAAGTATTATTATGTAGATAATTTGAGATATTATTTTGCTACATATAAATTTGACGATTGATTCTAAAAACAACTTCAAAAGATAAATTTTTAGAATAATTTTCATTATTTAAAATTTTATTAATTCTTATAAAATAGATTAATTCATAATAATTGATAATAGGTTTAAGTTATTTCTTCTAACTTAACCAACAATCACGCCTAAAAATGCTATTAGGAAAAACTCAGCAAAATAGTTGTTTACGAAAAAATGTATACCATTATTGCGGGGCTCGCACTGGTACTGGTGTGGGCAGCACTCGCCATGACGAAGCAGAGGGCGGCAACCACGCAGAGCCGGCGCGCAAGATAGGCGCTGGCAGCGCACAGCTCCACGCAGGCAAAAACACTGCATACATTCCGCCGCCTCCGCCACCTGCACGCGTTCTCCTTCGTACGCCCATTTACCATCAGGCGCAATGCAATCTAGAATGTACAAATATATGTCTCTTACAACATTTCCCGCAAACAACAATAAAGATTTTATGAAGTACCCTCCCAGCTCCTACAGGATAGATAGTTAAAAATGACTGACTCAGTCCTGGAGTAAATAACTTTGCTTTCCGGTCCATTAACCATATTTTTGCACAAATCTCAAGAGCTCATCGTCAGCAAATTAATAAAACAAATAAAAATAAGCAAATAAAAAAATAATTAATTAACTTAATGAAGCAAATAAAAGAATCAGCAATTTCTTCCAATATATAATAATAAGTATACAACGCCAGGCGGTCCTTGGTAGTGTTGTTAGAATACAAAGTTTCCCTTTCCTTTTACATTCATAACATTAAAAGTCACAACATATTACCACTAATCTCAGCATATTTAATATAACTTACCATTAGAATTCCTTCCACCGAGAGGCATGTCTGCTGATGAGGTATGCTCACAGTAATAGCGTTGTGGGCAACAGGCCCCTGCAGCAGCACGGGCCTTGCAGCCGGGCGGGGGTGGCAAGCACGCGGGCCTCACGCACCGTCTCACGCCACCCAGGCAGAAACATTGCTCACATGCCACCCCTCCCGTCATAGCAGAGCCGGCTGCATACACCACCCCGCCCTCCACACACGCTGGAAATACTCAAATAAATAAAAAATAAAATAAATATATATCATCAGGCTAAGATTTTTTTATTACAGTCTTTAAATTTTATCCCCAAAACGATTATGCTTTAAGTATTACTTTTTGATTATTTTGTCCAGCAATAAATAATGAAAAATATTATTAGAGTTAAAATAAGTTAAAGACTTTCCCCATAGTTATGTTATAAAAACGGAATTATTCTAACATGGGAATGTACATAACTTTTCACGGCCTACTACTAGGAGTATATTATTACTAGTACTGAATAACTTATATGAAATTTGATAAATCTCCTTTAAATACATACCATGGCCTATTGATGATGGAGTATCTATGTCAGAGTCATCAAGACGAGCTGCTGCTATAAGCTCCAGATGCTTTAGGTCATCTGAAATTAAATTAAAAATAATTTACTCACGTGGGATACCTAAATAATTATTATACCGGAATATTGTAAACAAGTATTATTTCAAAAGAGCAACTGTTGAGTTTCTCACCGGCTCTTCTCAGCCTTTCTCAGCTTTTCTTTCGAGCCTGATACTGACATTTAGTTATTTTTAGCAATTTTTACACTAAAAGAAAAAAATATTTTACAAGATCGCCTAGAACATATTACATGAATGTACTCGTATATTATCTTACCAGGACACCTTAACTCCGGACAGCAATCTCCTTTCCGTTGCATGATGTGGCAACGCGGGGGCGGCTCTGGCAGTGGCGCGCACGCTCGGCGGCGGCATGACAGCGCGCCCTGTGCGCATACGCACTGCAGGCACGCCTCACGAGTGCGCACAGCGGAGCCCGGCGAGTACCACCGCCCCTCATACATACACCCTGTTGACTCTACTTTGTCTGAAAAATAATGGTAAAGAATTAAATAATGCTATATTACGGGATTTTGAAAGTAAATAAGATATCCAAGAATATTTCTCACGATAAAGAATGGTTAATGTGAAGTTGTCTATATTATCTAGTAATTACCAAGATATTTGTACTTACTGACAGCTCGTTTAGTGTTACGAATAAAACGATCATCTCCATAACTTTCTGAAAATATATATTAATTGTTATTAATAAACATATTTTCCTTAAAAAAACTAATAAATATATGTATAATATATATTTTATAATATCAGTCTACCCATTCGATATAAGGATAAGCGCCACAGTAAAATCTCATTTTTAATTATCTTCGTCTGTTAGTATAGTTAAGGCCATTGCTGATTGTAAACAGTGAAAATTAAATCAACTAGGAATGTGCAAATTTTATCCTGAATATATTATATAAAATAAATAAAAATACATTTTGCAGTCTCATAATGTGAAATGTCTCATAAATGCATAATGTCCTTCTGACCGATTTCGGCCACAGCGGCCAAATCTCAGTGATTGTAGAACTAGTCAGATGCGCAGGAGACGCAACGTGCACTCTCTATTAAAGTCCGATGGGATGATACTTCGACGCGACCGGTAAGAGCTAAGGCCCAGGATCGATGCGACGGCTTTACGTGCTCTCCGAGACATGGTGGTTGAACACCACTAACTTCCCAACTCCGGGCTATTACTGAGAATTTATAGACAGAAATACTCAATAACTGAACTTGGCCCGATCGAACTCGATCCTAGGACCTCCGGATGTACAGCCGTAGATGCTAGCCACTACACCACTAAGGCAGTTAATACAGGCTGGTGCCTTATTAGGTCATTAGCGACTTACTCTAGCTTCACTCAAGTTTTTCCCTGTTTCTTTTGTACTTATAATATTACAGATATCGCTACATTTGGCAAATTTTATAACTAACTATAAATAAGGAAAGAGGAAGAAATAACTAGCAAGCATAGATATACGTACTATTTTTGACACGTTTAGCTCAGTTTGTAGTGATCCTACTTGCTGTGACAGCGGTTACGGGTTCGAGTCCCACTGGGGGCATTCATTAGTGTGATGACCACGAATGTTTGCTCTCCAGTCATGGGTGTTTATATTTATAATATGTATGTATTTAAAGTTATACATTTGTTGTGTATCAACTATCTGGGATCCATAACACAAGTCTCGTAGCTAACCATGGAACTAGATAGTGCTGGGTGTTAATATACCAACATATTTATTTATTTACTTTTTATAATAGTGTGATGATTTTAATTTCAACTAAAGAAAAATATAAATACAGAGGTATTCCAAAGAAGAAACACATAACACAAACAAGAAACACAGCAAAAACGTGCGGCCCCAACCCGAGCCGCCCGACCCGCCCAACTCGCCCGGCATCTCCGCTATTAAAGCCTACTAGTCTACAGGCTACATGTGCCGTAATAATTGCTGTTTATTGTCAATGTCAAAAAAAATTGATATCAAAGAACTAAATGCATCTCAGAGAAATATGTAATTTGTAATATGATCCACACATCGTGATTACGACGCTTAATGAAACTATCCAACCCTTCAATTCAAATACTCGTAACTTGATCAGAATTGTACATACGTTATATATTTTTAACTGACTTAAAAAAGGTGCTTTTTTGTGATTTGAATAAAATGTACATAGAGGGTAATCTCATACAAATTTTAAACATTTTAAGTAATTTTGTCGAAGTCAGTGTACTCTCTTATATAAAGCAAAGATCGACCCCACACACTTGGACACATAGGAAGGCCAGATATAGTCACCACTGTACTAGTTCTTAGTTAGTTTCACCATTAAATTAATTTATTTCTTCACTGTATCGTAAATAGGTTACAGTGATCGGTATTATATCGACTCCTTTTACAGCGTGGGAACATTACACGTCCTTTATCGCTTTCCTGGAACGTATTGGTAGTGCTTTGAGTATAGTTAGTTATATATTTTCCTAGTGAAAGCAATATGTGTTGTATATGCGCTTTGTTAATATAAACAAAATAATAATAATAAATACTTGAACAATAAACAAAAAAATTTAGTACAAGTGTGAAATAAAATTATGTAATGTACATATGAAAACAGCCTTATCGCTTAAACAGCGATCTCTTCCAGGTGACGTTAAGAAGTTGGAATTGGCAAACTGTAAGAGAGAAGAGATGTGAACAAATATAATTTGTAGAACATAACGGTGTTTTATTTAATTAATTAAATTTATTTCCTGTTATAATTTTAAATTTTACAATTTTAAATATAAATATTTTTTAAAGATAAAATGATAAAATGAGATGAAATTATCAGAATAGAAATTCAAAATTAAATTAAGTACATATGGCCTCAACAGCATCCATGGAGCTAACTAACAGCGGGCAAATGCCACATCGTTGTAAAATTATGAAAAACCCAAAGAAAAAAAGCAAGACCACGTGTTCTTTCAATTACATTGACTTGTAGATAAATTGTCTAATTTATAATTTCTGTAAACTTAAATACTAACTCAATTAAATGTGTATGTAAAATTACAAACTTGTATCGTTTTAATAGCTAATTTTAATAAAACTGATATCCGTTCGCGACCTCACTTTCGTGGTACATACGTCCATTCATATTTACCTGTTATTATATTAGACATATTTTTTAGACAACGTTAATTTCGCCAAAAATTAAAAAGTGAGTTTTCTCCTATCTGATTAGTCGGTCTAACCGCTAACGTATAAAACATAAAGTAAAATTAATATTTCATACGACGGAACCTTCAGTGTGCGAGTCAGACTCGCCTTCGCTCGATTTTTATGTAAGGGTTTGAATACAACCGCGATTTTTATCTTAGCGATCCTTATCTATGCTTGACTGTCAAAAAAATCTTTAAAGTTTAGACGAACAATTATATATACATACATATTTCTATATGTATATTATTTGATTGAGAAATCATTTGGTCAACGCTCTAAGCTTGGTTACAACTAGGAAGCATTTAAACCAGTAGGCGACGAAGATACGTTTGATACAAGAAATGCTTGTACATAGTACTCAAAGCTTTGGTCAGAATATAATAACATGGGGCGAAATATCAGTAATTTCATATTGAGTTTATTTCAACATCTATGAAATTTTTAACGATTTAATATAACTAATGCTAGCCCAGTGGTCGAAAAGCGAACAATATTTTTTTGATAACATGCTAGACGAAAAAAAACAAGAAAATTTATTCAATAGACTTCCTAAAGTTCTACAGTTTATATACAACTAGCAGTATCTGCGGCTTCGCTCGCGCTTAAACTACAGAAAAATCTTTAAATATGTATTTTCATACATACTTTCATCCCCTATTTGACCCCCTTATAGGATGAATTTCGAAAAATGCTAAAATACGTATTTATTTAATTTTATTAAAGAGCATTAATACCAAGTTTCAAGTAATTCTGATCATAAATATTTTTTTGGGTTGTATTATAACGTGTTGTCGTGTGGGAATTATATAACGTCCCGCGGTATAAAGTAGCCTATGTCACTCTCCAGCCCTCCAACTATCCCCCCACAAAAAATCGCGCCAATCCGTTACAGCGTTTCGACTTGAAAGAAGGACAAACAAACAAACACACTTTCACATTTATAATATTAGTATGGATGTACATACTCGTATATAACGATTATATAAACTTTTTAAACATCCAAAAACATATTTATAAATGTTATTACATAATTTCATTTGGATTTTTTACCTGATATGGAATAAAAAAATACACATACATTTTTTTAAAAGCAAGAGAGTATTTTATCTAAATAGCAAGAAAGCTCACTATTAAAAATTAAAAATTTACACAGAGAACTTGTGAATCAAAAAAGCTAATTTAATATTATACGTCTTGATATCGCAAAGAAAACGTAAAAACTCAAATTAAGTGTCTTATTGAGGCAATTTAAATAATCTTTATTTCGTTAAATATCCTTATAAAATTACGAAAAAAATACTCAAAAAAACTAGTTGATTGCCCAAAAATATTTATTTTATCGACAGCATTTTCGAATTTTTATAGGAAGATTTTGAATATACATATTATACAAATTAGCGATAACTAGGTGATTCTTTAATCCCTCAACGACCGCGGACACGCCGGCGTTACAGTTAACAATAGATTTCTTAGAAATTTAATTAATTTCTTAGAAATTTACCTGCTGGTGTATAAAACAAATGCTAAATATTAAGTGAAGCTTAACACAATACATAAGTGTAAGCCGCACCTAAATCGGTTAAGCCGTTTCTGAGATTAACGCGCACAAACGCACAGACAAACAGACAAAAATTCTAAAAATGATTGTTTCAGGTTCTATTTAATTACGTTAATAAAGAAAGACCTCCAATAAAAGTTTTTCTCAAATATCCTCTATGTACAGACAGCAATCAGTTACACTTTTATTATAAGTATAGATTGGCCATGAAAATATAAGTTCTTGAAACATACTAAACTAAATTAATATAAAATGTTTTTTAAAATTTCATCAATCGCTGTCTTTATAGGTAGTCTTCCATCCTATAAGTAGAAGTAGGTACATTGAATTGAAATAGATAAGAAATGCGAGTAATCACATCTAAGGAAGCAATCTATATAATTAAAAATAAATAGTTATTTCCCTATACGATATATTTGACGGCGGACAGCGGTCACGGGTTTGAATCCCGCTGGGGGCATTCATTTGTGTGATGAGCACAAATGTTTGTACTCTAATCATGGGTGTTTATATTTATAGTATGTATGTATTTAAAATTTATATATGTGTAGTGTATCAACTATCTGGTATCCATAACACAAGCCTCGTAGCTTACCATGGAACCAGATGGTGCTGTGTGTAAATGTCCCAAAAAAAATACAGGCATACAGAGGTTAAATCTATAACTGCAATAACTGTACTGACACTGTCTGTCTCT